CCACTTATATACCCTATATAAACAGCTGCCCACCCTAAGCCATCAAGCTTAATCCACCGAGGAAAACGGAAGTTTGTCTTGCAACTCCACAACTAGGACGATACAAGGCTGCCGGCCCCGTCTTCTTCGGGACCTTTTCAACTATGAAGACTCACTTATCAGTAGCCAGCTAACAGCATTATTCTTCAAAATCTGGCATGAAGAAAGAATGCCTTTTTCTTGGAGCGAGTCAGTTATGCTTCCGGTTTTTAAGAAGCCTGTTCTAGCTTCGCTCACCAATCACAGTGTGTTTGGTTTGATTTTGGCTGCCTCGAATCTATTGACATTCATGCTACTACTTAGACTATCCCTCATTCGCAAAATACAGTACTGAGAAGAACAAACTGACTACCGACCTGACGGTCAAATCCTGGGACACAGCCACCATTAGCAGAAACCTACCGTCGTTGCATACGTAGACAATCGTGGCGCATTCGACTCGGTTGGTCTACTTGAACGCATTGGTACGCAGTGCTTGACAGTTCGCATGCCGTATGTGGGGATATTGCGCAACGATGTCCTGGTGACATTTGAACACAGTACAACCAAATGATAAATGAACCCCATTACCGGAACCTGAGGGAGAGCGGTAAGTGCTAGTACCCAAGAAGTATAGTGATGAGAAATACGTGGTTTAAAATAGACGGTGCTTGGGCGTCCATGAACCGATTCAACGATACTTGAGGGGTACTAGCAAGAAGAACTACACCGAAAGTACCTAGCCCCAAGGTATAAGAAAGCGCTGTAGCAGAACATTCGGTAGATTGAAATCATCCGATATCAAGACTTTCTGTCAGATTGGGAGCGAATAAGTCCAAGCACCACTTTACAGGCAGTCCCAGAGCTTTTATACAAATTACGACTGGAAGTTGAGCCGAGAAAGTGCTAAACACAACCGACAGGGCTTCGACAGTTTTGTCTGCCGAATGAAACATGTAGGTACGCATAAGGTCACTAGCACAGCTAACCTAACGCGCAACACCCTTGCCTTGTCAGCCAACGAATCGACCACACTTAAAACTGCGTAGCCAGTCAGATGTAAGCCACTGTCCTGAGACAGCCACATTTCAGTGAATGGAGGTATATCGGAGGGTGCATCTACAAGCAGACTACATCGTATATGTTATTTCGTAGGCTGCAACATTGCTCAGCGCCAGATAAACACTTTTACAAAGACCAAATTTCTATGTTTCACTACCAGAGCAGGCCCTGGCATGGCGGAAAAAGACCGCCGACTGACCAGCTGAAAACCCGCTGACTGGACATCTTGTTCACTAAACGCTCAATTGCGTTTGAGGTCCTTCTACGCCATTTTCAGCTGCAGCTTATTCGTCGGCAGCTCCGGTTGAGCACCAGCATTAAGGCCTTTTCTTTTGAAAACAAATCGCAACAGCGCCTTGCGTTACCCCGAAGTGTATAGCATCACCAGAAGTAAACGCGGTCCAATGTTTGCGGAGTCAGTTTCCTGACAGTAACACCGGGAAGCGCAGGCAGAATCAACTTCGTCAGGCACATTTTAAATCATTGCAGGTCCTCTAACACTTGATCAGCAGTATGTGCAACCGTAGATGACACTGCGTTACGGAACATCACGCAGTTATCCATGCATCAGCAAGTTTTGCTGATAAATAGCGTGGCGTACGGTTTAGCAGTCCGATATATGTACTCGTAATCCTACCTCTGGTTGAAATCGTCTCACTGCATACCCACATAATCGTCAGTAACGAGCAAAGTACTGCTTGCGTTCCCACAAGCATCCTAATCCCCTACGACCGCATGGGTGTATAAGAAGACGGACATTATAAAGTGGAAAGCAGCAGAATTGTAACACTTATACACAGTCAAACAACTAACAGCTAAAAGGTAAAGCTGAGAAACGGGTTAGTAAACAGAAAAACCCAAATCTTCATCGGCAAGCGTCACATAACCGCTCCTTGCAACACCATTATCATCAACCAAAGTTTCCGTAGAGCACGTAGAATGCGACAATGGTCACACTTGGTGTTTCACTGCTTCCCGTAATATTTTCGATAAGAATCCATCGGTATGACACGCCCGAAATTACACCCACGGCTTCGAGGCCAGTACCGAAACAAGTTGTCGTTGATACAATTATTGAATCCATAAATGCATGCAATACCACCTAGCGTTATTTACGGGAATCTTCAAGCTTGGAATGCACGTGGCGGAAATTAACATACTGGTACGTAAATCATCAGACTGCGGAGTCACCAACAATTAAGTGGAAAAGTGCATGAGGCTGCAAACTCATTATTAGGAACCACATCCTTCACTTTCTCAGCGCTTTTGTAGCGACCACAAAGCATACGACAAAACACAGCGGTATCTTCCAACGTGGGGGATCGTGCTCCACAAAGGTCGGTGATAAGCAGGCGACTGGGCGGTTGCCCTGGCGGACAGCACGATACTTTGCCCTGGTGAAGGAAAAGCAAGGACGAATTTTGGCTATAAGAGCTGTAAAGAAAAAGATTATCATTGCAAAGCTGACATGGGTTTCCATGAGTCTGATAACATTTTAAATGCATCAAAGGTGCGTTGCCGGACCCAGTCGCTGTCATGGCTGCCGACGATACCTCTGCTTTCCATGATGTGTACCTTCAGCGTGTGTACCGAACTTTTGAGAATTTTGAAAGTCACCAGAAACACTTCCAACGGCGAACGGCATCATGTCTTCTCAAACCAGATGTGCTGGCATCTGAAGCGTATCGAAAGGGAAGCAGTAAAGTAGCCTTAGGGTGTTCGATCCACTTCGTATACTACTGACGCATTCACGGCCAGCGAAGTGGGTACACATGCAAGAGGTAAGTTGACATGTTACCTTTGTGAAACGCTAACGAACTGTAGGTACAAAAGTTATGATTGTACAGCCAAGATTGCCATACGGCATAACGGCTTGTGCTACGATATAGGATACTTCAGCGTTATGCACAGTCCTACATTTCATGTGGGCAAGGCGTTTCGCTATGCAAGCAACAGACAGCTCCCGCAGCACGCGGAAGAGGATGTCAAACTTATGATGCAGTCGTTTTAGGACATATGCGAGCTGAGGAAGTGTGCGTTCATACAATGCGGTAAAAAAGTAAACAGATACGACCTGCGGACCATAAGACCTAAGATAAGGGGAAGTTTGACGGGAACTCAGCGAAAGCTGTAGTGGCGTTGCTTAACAGCTTTGGTCATTGTAACCTTGAGTATAAGGAATCGGAGATACGGTTCATAGTTTTGGTTCCGAGTCATATACTTGACCTAGTGGACACTTCCAGTGAAGAAAAGATGGCGGATGCCACACACCAGATGAACACCTGGGCTACATGCTGTGGCATTGCATGTTAGTAGATGTATACGGTGGTAGGCGTTCAATTTTCCACGCCTTGCTTCCAAAAGTAACAACTTCATCGTCCCTGAACGCCGTGCGCTACGTGCGCCTTATGGTACTAGCGACTGAGGCAACACGGACAGTGGTGATGGATAAGTGCACGGCGCAGCTCTATGCTTTTCACTCCGTGTACCCTTCTGCGTGCATAATTTTGTACCGTTTCCAAATAATCTGGACTGTGATCAGTCGCTGCAAAGCGTTATAGGCCAAAATAGCGACGGACACGATGCTCATCAAGCAGTGGTTGCGGAACTTGGTGTATGCTAGGAACTCTTCGTTGTTTGACAGGTACTTGACAGCCATTCTAGCGCGCAACAAAAAAACGCAAATTTATTTGGTAAGGACTTGGTTACCGTTTGTTTCATCATTGGCAACCTGTTGGTTCGGCCGCCATATGACAAACCGTTTGGAGAACGAAAAAAGGCATTTAAAGGGTGGTCTTTCGGAGCGAACTGCATTATGAGATCTGTTTAGTACCGTCGTTAATCGCGTACTAGATACATAAGCGCAGTGGCAGGATTATATTGGCAAAACTGACTTGGCTGAGCACGTATTGCATCCTTGCTTCCACTGCCTTCGACAAGCTGCTGCTCCGTTTTCAGGATACTCTAGGATGCGTTTGTGATGCCACTACACACAAAGGAAACGTTGAGTGTGTAACTTGTCCCAAGGTACATGTCAAGTACTAGGTTGCCGACGGCAATAAAAGTTTCAATCCGTAGAGACGTACCATGCTAATCCAGCTTCAGTCAGCAATGGCTACTTCTGTGTGCTCAATTAGTAAATGCATGGTACGCGTCGGTCCGTCCGGTGGACGATATTGCGCATAAGTCGCTGGGTTGTGTTCACACACGCAACAACCGCGTGTAACCCTACCGACGTCATCCGCCATCGTCCCGCTCTGATCCACTTCCACAGTGGCTCCAGTAACTAGGTAGAGGAAGCTTCACGAGTGAAGCCTGGTTTTGGGTGAGATTCAGGTGCAGGTTTGTAGCAGTGGGGTTGCAATGTATAGAGTGATGGAACAGTTGCGGGAGTTTCTGCACAACCTGCGCATTTCTCACAAGAATGTTTAGAACCCTGCTTCCGAAATCCCAAATAAGCAGCAGTAGGGATCGCTGTGCATACCAGCAAAGGCAGAAAACATGGACAATACCTAGTGCCAATTCCAGATGTGTCAGCCCCACAGGAGGAAGAAGACAACCTACTTTTCAGAAATTTACGCAAGAAAATCGCCATATGGTGTAAGCCTTCAGGAAATCGTGGTTGCCTTGCAAAACGCCCAGCCAATTACGAGAATGACGAGTGCGCTTTGTGTCTTCAAGCAGACTGCGAGGCACAGAGTGGACGGACAGTTGACTGACTCATATGCTCCGAATGCGACCTTTGGTATTATCAGCTTTGCGAGTCGTACAATGGGCAGGAGAATTGCACGTGCCATCAGTGTTTGTAAGTGGACATTTTTCTTGGTTCCTTTTTTTACCGAACGTTTACTTCCGCTTGATCGCTAGGTGCACCCGCTACTCGTACATGCGGTGCCTCCCCTACGTGACGTTTATGCACTATGTCTGCCTCACTGTCGGAAGCACGTATGATGGGAGTAGTCAAGTATACCTACGGATCTCAAACGTACCAACAATTATGACACTTTGTGATGTTACGCATTCTATTACAAGTTCCCTTATTACAAATACATCTGCTAAAATCCTGAAGAACCGCGCTGGTTCGTCGAGCGCCAGCAGCACACGCATCAAAAGGTAAGAAGTACGTTTAAAGTCCTACCGGTAATACAGCGTTTCGTTGCACTCGTACTGCATTTGTGACCTCCTCTTACGTCCCAGCTGCTTAGTTATCCGTCGTGTAGGCGTGAGTGCGTGCATTGCCTCAAACAAAAGTGCGTGAGCCTTTCGTCTAAGACTGCACAGCTTATGGCGTCCATCACCTTTCGGGCCGTATCTAGGTATGCATGCATCAACGAACATCCTAGTCGTTTGGCGAAAACAAATGTTACCTTGTCAGTTATTTAATCTATCCCTTTTTCCTAAACAAGGGGCTTTCAGAACCGTTCCGAAGGTAACTGTTTTATGGCCTTTGCTTTACTCAACTTCTGTCAGTGAGTTATCGCAGCAGCTGCAAGTGGCAGCACCATTATTAGAAGGAAGCTGCTGGTGCAGGGTTACGTATGACTTGGCTCATACGCTGTTTCTTTCGTTCCTAACAGACCATATGTTTGTGATGCCATTCACACTTACATTATGTAGAGGGTTTTTCCACCGTATCTTGCTACGAATTTACGAGGTCCAACGTATCCGTAACGTTAGGGTGATTTCCTGCTAACATATCGTATCATAACCCGTATCCTCGTTCAAGACGGCCAGCAGCTGTGTAGGCATGCCAATATGGGTAGTCTCCGAGGACCTCATTACTGCTGCAAAACCTAGTTTGCCACCGTTTAAGAGGGGAAACTCCTGTTCGCAACAAGTTATTAGGCATTCAAGGTCGCTTTCGGTACATGTCGTTAGGCAACGCAAGGATGAGGGTAGTCAGAGTTTATTCCATCCACTTGAAGTTACCAATTGCAGTAGTAAAATACACTAAAAGGCGATTTTCACATGACAGCAGTTACATCCTACGTTGTTCTTACAGCTAACCATACATGAAGGAATTAATGTGAACACATAAATAGCCTGAAAACGAGTGCAGCTACAAAGAACATGAAACGAGAATGAATAGATTAGAGGATACCATAAAACATGGCTAAAATAAGAGACGACTGGTGATATTGACCTCCCACAGCGACTCTCTTAAGTGAAAGGCTGTGCCAGTAATTATATTTCATTACCTATTCACATTAGAAAAATATGATATCTGACATATTAAAAATAGTTAAGTAATAAAACTCCTAGGACACACAAGGATTTGCGGTAACCAGTCAAAACGCTCTTCCGACACTGTCTTTTCACCTTGGTGATTCCATTTGAAATACCATTGATTTCGTTATCCAGCCAAGTCTCCACACACCACAGATCTACACTCGTTCACCAACACTTCACAAGTAGGACTTACATATAGTCGCTTGCTTCGGCATGTTTTCCGCATTTACGTTCTCAGTGTCGCACAATCATGTCACGCTACAATAATTAATAGGTATGTCAATTAAATAATTGTTCACATGCGCTTTATATTTAGAACTGCTATTAAATTATGTTTCACTTTGTTACACAATCCCCATACAACCTCGTCAAAAATAAACAGATTTCAGGTACGCATTGAGCACATTCAGTAACTTCATAAAACATAATCTTTTATCTGACTTGCGGACAACAACAACGTACGTCGAAACATGTGCGTAGGACTTCTGCTCAATTCAAGGAAGACAGACAATATATTGGTACAGCTTTTGATTTCTTTTCCATTACGGCACAAAACTTTCCTTATTAGTAGATTGCGCATACATTTGCGACAGCGTTTTCAAATTGGAAATGGAATCAACTTTAGAAACCAGATTAACCTTAAGTTGGTCCGTTTGCAAATACATCTTATTTCACACATTCTTAAAAAAAGGCATGAAATATGAATTAATGATTTTATTTCCATAGCACTTGCAGTGTGAACCTTAACTTAGTAACATATGACACTATCTACCGCAATATAATAATTTACAAAGTATTCATCCTGGTTCCCCTATCACACATCACGGGAATCGAACCAAAACCTTCTTTCCATCCACAGTACCATTATTCATGTCGGCAAAACACATCACTACGTAATACAAGCTCCAAATCAATCTTAAGAAATTTTATTGCCTTTAAAACATAGCTTTGGTTTCCTGTCAAATTTACATCAAATTTTCTTTTCGTAACATATCAAATTTGAGAAACTAACAACAAATAACTACTCCGGTCTCGTTGCTTTTTTGGCAAGCACCAGTTCGTGTTCCGGGACTACATCCTTCGACCTTGGGGGCCCCCCCCCCAATAAACGGGGGGGCACACCAAAAACAATGGGGGGGGGGGGGGGGGGGGGGGGGGGGGGAAAAAAAGTTGTGGGGGGGAAAAAATGGGGGGGGGGGGGAAAAATTTTGGGGGGGGGGGGGGGGGAGGGTAAAAAAAAAATATAAGAATTAAGGTGGATAGATGGGGTTAGTTTATGAATGGGATGAATTATGATATATTGTAAGGTGGGAGATGAGTTTAGTTTGAGAAGGTAATGTGGTATAGATTAATGGGTATTAAATAGAAGGGATATAGGGGGAGTGGTTAAATGTTGGTGTGGGAGGGAGGGATGTTGGTGGTAAGGGGTGATGGGAAAGAATTATGTAGTGAGGTGGTGGGATACAGGTTTTGTAGGGATGGATTGTTAAAGGATGTGTTTTGGGTAGTGATGAGTTAGTTTGGGTGGTTAATGGAAAATGATATTGAATGGAATAGGGAAGGAGTATGGATTTGATTAATTGTGTAATAGTATGGTTAATTGAATTGATATTTGGGTAATGAAGGGAGGGAAGGTAAGGAATTGTAATAGGTAGGGAGGGGGGGATGGTTTGTTGGGCTGAATTGGGTGATTTATGGTGTTGGGAGTGTTGAGTGGGAGGGGAATAGAGGGGGAAAGGGGGTGTGAGGGGGGATGTGGGAGGTTTTGTTATATAGGTGGTGGGCCAGGATCGGGGTAGTTGTTTGACTCCGGAGAGGGAACACAGCACGATGACAGAAGCAAATGCACTGTTTAGGTTTTAAAGTATTTTGGGTTATTTCGATTTTGCAAAACTTTTGTGGATTGGACGCACGATTTCCAATAATGACGAAAAAAGCGTGTTAGTACAAATAGAAAATGTTTTCAAAATTTTAAAACGGACCGGAACTTTGCCCTGTCTGCCGCGTAGGTCGGTTGCCTGAGATTGAGGCGGGAGAGGTTACAGACAAAGGGGAACAGTGGATTTCGGATATCCAGTGCTCAGGAAGTCGCCGCAGGTACGGGTGCATTTTTGATAACATCAGGATAGGTTGCAAGTAGTTCGTCAAAGAAGACCACTTGGTATTGGCCGATGAACACCGTTGTTCGGTGACCATTCTGGTCTAAAGTGAAATGGTTCGGAATTTGTTTCATGACTCTGAAATGGCCAGTGCAGGGCGCTGCACTGTGTCGGTGCGGAGAAAGACGTGAGTGTAGGTACAGTATCCGTTGGGCATTTGCACAAACCTAGTCTGTTCACTGGGCGGAGTCAGGCGTAGTGAACGCATGTGTTGAGCTACGGAGGAAGCAAAGTTAGGCAAAGGCATAAGTAACACCGCGGGAGGCGTAACGAATTCACCTGACAACTTGCTCGTCGTGCTGTAAAGCATCTCTGCTGCTGTACGTTACAATTCAGCCTTGATACTGCTGCGAATGCCTAAGAGTACGAGCGAAGAGTGATTGCTCCAGCTAGGGTCGGGGTAAAGGCCGAGCGAAGCTTTCAGCTACTTATGGAAGAGTTTAACTACACCGTTGTCTGCTACGTGATACCACATGGTTTAAAAGCGACGGCAGCTCAAAAGGTTGCAGAGTGCATCGAATTGTGAAGATTCGTAGTGCTTTCCTCGGTCACTTGATGGGCATCGGTAGTGTGAGACCCACCGCGCCAAGTGGGCCCGGATAAGAGTTTCAGCTGTGCAGTCTGTTACAAGAATGGCTTTTGGCGAGGTGGTGTAGCGGTCGGCACATGTACGAATGTATACACATCCGTGTGAATGAGGTGAGGAACTTACTAGGTCTACGTATACATGCGGGAACCATGAGTCCGAGGCGGGAAATGAGCTGAGGACTGCGGGTGTGACGATGTAGTTTGCAGCGCTGGCATTGAAGGCAGGCGTGAGCTAATGTACAAACATTTTCGTTTACGCGTGGCCAAATGAAACGTTCCGTGATCATTTTCATAGATGCACGGGTACCGGGAAGTGCTTTTGCGTGTAGTGCGTCCAAGGCTGTGCGTCTGTAGGCGACAGGCACTAAAGGCCTCAGACGACCTGTGGTGGTATCACAGCGGATTGTTCCTTCTTGTTTTGGAGAGGAACAGGTTGTACATGCAGCAAAGTGGACTACAGGGTGTGTTGTATATCTGCATCTTGATCCTGAGCCGATACAATGGTGACAAGGTCGACAGTAGGCAATGATTGGAAAGTGCGGTTGTCGCGTGCGTGAGCCTTGGCGACCGGGGTCGTCGACACCTGAGACATGCCATGCGTCAACAGTGAACTGCGTGACGAAGTTTAAATGTCGCTTTTCGTGGTGAATATTTGTCGCATGCAGCGTTGAAGGCGATGAGGGGCTTGTGGTCAGTGTAGACCAAGAAAGCGCGACCTTCAGTGTGTGCCTGAAGGGATGAAAGCTAGGTAAAGGCAAGCAGTTCTCTGCCAAACGTGCTGTAGCGGGATTCCGCTGGCTGCAGGCGATTACGAAGAACCAAGAGGTTGCCATTGCCCACCAACGGGTTGCTGTAGGACAATTGGTACCGCGCCGTCTGAGGTATCGGACGTAATATGATACGGATGTACCCACGGACGCCGCGGATTTTTGGATTCACGTGCTGGATTCCACTTTTGCTTCGGAATTACTGTGTTTTGCGTTATCTTTCTGTGTGAATTGTGCACCAATATACTTCATTTGGTGTATTTTTCCATTTGTGCAAATTTGATTGAGGATCTCTTGCTAATTGTGGAGTTCTCATCGATTGGCCATTCACGACGAAACTGCAAAATTCGGCAATGGTTCGTAGTACAGCTACAAGGAAAACAAGTGCTCGTCGGCCCACGCAACAGCAAACGAGAGTGATTTGTGCTTCGAAATCGTGCTCTAAAACAATCCGGATTGCAATAACTTGTAATATCTGTGAAAAGAGCTTTCATCCCCGGTGCGTAGGTGTGGCAAAAGTGAAGGAACGACCTTGCACATCAGACTCCATTTGGTTCTGTGCTGAGTGCATGGCCAACCCGCTCGTGAGGTGCGTTGCTCTACTGACAGAGAAATGTGACAAACTAACCCAAATTGTGCGACTAGCAACAGCTGAAACAGCGGGTGGATCGCAACCAGCTGGTGCCGCACTCGACTCACGTTGTCAAACCGTATGCCCACACCTGGCACAAACCAGTCAAAACGATTGTCTATCAGAGAGCATACATCCCGCAACCCCACTCACGATAGGCTGCAAACAAAGAGTTTATGAAAGACTGCCAACCCCGGCGAATCCAACGTTGCAGAGTTCGGTTTTCCCGAGTGATATTGCTGTGGCTCATGATACTCCAGTGCATTCCGATTTACCGAATAACACAGGTAATCCGACTACCTATGCAAATATCGTCGCTGATTGTCCACCCGTGGCAAATTTAACCAGCGTGTCTGCAAGCACACCGAAGGTTGTTAGAGGCGACACTAATAACAATGTATACACGAAAAGATTTCCCCCCACGCCGCCGGTAATAGGAGGCATGCCGGTATCCAAATGTACGAACTCCAAGAAGATGCAGAGTTCGATGAAGATAATATGCTCTAACGTGCCTGAGTCAAAGGCAAACTCTATCAAAGATAGACTACTGGACGACATGAAACAGTGGGAATCCATATGCCGAGCAATTGGAATGCAGCCTAAACAGGCTAGCTTATGTCGTATCATCCGCCACCCCAACTCACTTCACTATGGCGAGCCGAGACTACTTCAAGTGACATTGCAGTCCGGTAACGAAGCAGAGACAGTCCTCTTGTCAGCTCACCGTCTTCGTGATTCATCATGCGGAGTTCGCATATTCCCGGATATACCTTGGAATAAGCGTCGACAACGAAAACAAAATCCTGGAGAACACCGCAAGCAAACTGATGAAAGATCCATCTTTGTCCATGGTGTCCCCGAAACACAGGCACCGGAAGAGTCGCAGGTCAAAGCTCATGACTTGGAAGAGTGGCGGTATATCCGCGAAGCACTATCTCTCCACGACGTAATTGCCAGCTCAACATCGAGGTTACCCATATCGCCAAACTACAAAGGAAGTGGTCCACGAGTGCTTAAAGTCTTGCTTTACTCCAAACAAATGGTTGAAACGGTGCTCGGGAATTGGCACAAGTTCCGCACCAAATTGCCATCAGAAATACGTCTGAAGGCGGTTGGAACCAGGCCACCAATGGATAAGGGAACACGAAACCAGCAAGAAGTAGTCGCGATCCCCGCTGTCTGCATTTCTGTACCGGAACACAATGAAACGCCCCAGCCGTTCGATGAAGAAGGAGAAGACAGTCTGCTGCAGATCGACTCAGGGCGCTGTAGGCATCCCACCGTAACGGCCCCGGGAAGTTTGCAAGAGACAAATCAAAAAAACGTCCGTCAGCCGACCCAACAAGGGTCGGCGTAAATTCTCGGAAAACCAACGTATGTTCAAACACGATTCTAACATCCGTAGTTCTCAATTGCCTTTATACAAACGCCCAAGGGCTTCTAAGCAAATTGGCAGAACGTCGATCTCGTCATAGCTCAATGTGTTGGGACCTCATCATGATAACTGAGACGTGGCTGAACGACATGATTAGTGACGCTGACATCGAACTACCTGGCATGTCACTACTGCGTAACGATCGACCCACCAATGGCGGCGGTGTAATTCTCTACTACCGTTCAGACCTTCTCATCGAGCTCATGAACGACCCTGGGATTCAAACCGTAGACTCCTTATGGTGATGCCTACACCTAAAGCACGGCGATAAATGCTTATTGGCCATCGTATATCGTCCACCAATGTCCACTTTAGAAATGGACAAGGCCCTGTCTTCTGCTTTGAAGAATTTACTGGAACGGTCACACAGTCATGTTTTGCTGGTAGGGGACTTCAATCTGCACGGCCTAGAAACCCCAGCCACCATGAGTGAACCATTCAAAGCCGATCTACAAGAGCTAATTGAAGGATCACCGCTGTACAACCATGTCACATCCCCAACGCGATTCAGGACAGGAAACAAACCGGCCATCTTGGACCTCGTTTTCACCAATGAGGAACTGGTGATTGGCGTTGTAACCACATCCACTCCCTTGGGCCGCAGCGATCATGCGACACTATTGTTCCAATACTTGTGTTATGCAGATTATCCTAATGAAAGCAACGT